ATCAGGCTCTGCACTGTCAGTGTAGAGCCCAATTCAGGGCTTGATCTCAGGAACTGTGAAATCATGACCTGAGCTGAAATCAAAAGTCGGACGCTTAACCAACCGAGCCACTCAGGCACCGCATTATGTTTAGGATTCTGTGAGAAAAGCAAGACTGGGCCATCTACAAGTGAGTTTGTAGAGGCTCCAAATTTGAACGCAGGCAGCCCTCTCTTTCTTGTACCCATACTCTCGACTTCTGATTGCACAGACAGAAGTTGTTGAAAGTGAGTAAAAGCAGATTCACTTACCATCTTCTAGTCTCTAAAACAATCTAAGAAATACGTGTATGTGCGCCTGAACTGTTACTCATTCTTCTCTTTCCCCAGCATAGTTCTAGTGGAATTAGAATAGCAATTGTTACTTAAATAGCTGTAATAATTGAAACCAGGCTGGATAACCTATCAGTGACCTACTTACCTTCAAAAGTAATTCCTGGCAATTTGCAGAATGAAACAGTAGACCCATTGTTTCCTTTATGATAAATTCATAATTGAAAAATGAAAGGAAAGCTGTGGCTTTTAAAATTGACTCTAGTATATGTCTGAGTTTTCTTTTAAATTAGCCTTTCAGATAATCCCAGAATGTTATGGATAGTGACACCTTACAATGATGATGGCCTCTTGGAAAGGTATGAGGACTGGCATTTTGATTAATCATTTCCAAAAACAGCATATCTTTTTTAACTGGAGAAACCATGTCCCCTTGACTGAGAGAGAGCCTTATAAGGAGAAAGCTCTGAACAGCTGAAAAAAAAAAAAAAAAAAAATCTCCCTATTTCAAAAATCTCCATGTGGAAAAATGTTGAACTGCATAGTTTTACTTTATTTCTTGTAAGAGACAGTTTCCTAAAAGTCTCACTAATTGTAAAGGCATTAATGGAACCCACTTTTGAAAGGCTTAATTTAAGATGTCTCACTGTGAATCCTCTTAGGAAATGAATATTTACCCTATTATGTAATTTTGTTTTGTTTTGTTTTGTTTTGATTTCAGGATTGGTTTTCTCAACGGTATCTCACAAGAGTATCTGATATGTCTTCTCAACAGACTAATTAAATCTTTAACAAGGTTAAATGGTAGGCCTTGGTTTAGTACCTTGAATAGATATATGATATTTCACTCCATCCACCTTCCTCTTTCTGGAAGCCCCCTCTGATGGGGATATGGTCTTTTCTATCTTGGGATGGCAAGAAAAAATGCTCAAAGTTCCTACAGGTCTGAGAAACTGGGTCTGGGTTGGGAGTCCATATCAGAGCATGAATTAAATGCAAACATAGTGGATAAGAAGCTAGTGAAAAGGGCCAAATGGTTGTGACTCCAAGGGGAATGTGTCAACCTGACAAACGGCTTTTGGAAACAGGGGGAGTTTCTGACAAGTTGGGCAAGTCAATGAGCTCACCGGGGAATCGATCACCTCACTCAAGGTGCAGCAGATTTCCCCCAAGACGTGGCCTTGTCCTTGTCACCACCATATGTCTTCCAGGAGCTATACGGGAATGGGGAGTGTTGCTAAATTAAAACAGTAAGTCCACAGAACTGTGGAGTCTCCTCCTTTGCAATTTCCAAACACAATCACTTGAAATCTGGAAGCCTTCTCCATCTGAATTACTAAAAGCCCTTTCAAAAGAAATTTGAATCTTGAGGTTGTATGAAGTGTGAATCACTGACAGATGTACAGTTTTCTATCTGTGCTCATACCCACAACTTTAAATGCAGAGAATGACTCAATCTGTAGCCACTAGGTTTTGAGAAGCCTCTGCAAGATGGTACATAAAAGAGGCCTACTGGAATTACTCCCAATGACTTTCAAATTCAGTAACTGTTTTATTGTGGGAAGCTGTTAGGGAGAATTAAAATCTCTGAAGCACCTCAGTACACCATGGTGCCACCCCACGGAGTACCGATTGTTCTGAAAGGCTAATTTGATTATGTGCCACCATTAATGGTGAAATGGGAAAGTTCCCAGACACTGTCAGACTCCACATAACCCTCCCCTTCTCTCCCCCCAAGTTCACTTGTATTTAAGTTGCTGAAAATACTGAGTGTCTCTTATTTAAAGGCCTGGTACTCTCATGGCTTAAACAGTTAAGCCCTCCCCAAGAATTGCACAGGCCAGCTTGCCTCCATCGAGGGTTCCCAGGGCATGTAATCTGACAGGCAGGCCGTGGATACGAACATGTTGGAGGTAAAAAGAAGAACGTCAGACCTTAGGCAACACCACGCGTGCCCTGCAATAGCCAGGAAACCCCTTCGAGAGAGAGAAAGGCAGGCTTTGATGTCAGAAAACCTGGATTCAAATCGCAGGAACGTGGCCTCGGACCAATCACTTAATCTCTTTAGGTCTCAGACTCCACACCTGTAAACTCTTCTCCTGAAGAGCTATAAGAACTTCAGTAGACACATCATAAAGATGATGATAGACACCCAATATGTGGTAGCACTCTTTATTATATCACTATGAAAAGATTTAAACAACTGCTACGAATTTTGCTCTGGAGCTATTCAGAGTTAGAAAAGTCTGGAGAGAAAATGTGCTTGTTAACCTTATCCAGGACAAACCAGTCTTAGCATCTTGTCACCGTTTGTCTTCTAGGAGGGATAGGGATGGGCCAAAAAGGGACAGAGTGAACCAACCAAAGACAATCCAGACAAAGCTCATGAGGTTATTCTTTCTCAGAGTTTACTTACAATTAAAACCAATATTCCATAAATCTCTACGAAACTGTGAAGTCTCCAAGTCTGTTTCTATTCAGTTCCTTTGTTCTGGTTCCTGACTCTGGCTTCCCTCTGCTTCCTTCTCTTTCTGATGTTGTCTGTGTGTCTGTCAACCTGCAGATAGTATAACCTATGGTTCCAGGAAAGCAAGAAGTAAATTGAAAAAACTGATGTGCCAGGCTCTACATTCACTAGGTGTTTTATATGCATTTGTTCAACTAATCTTAAGAACCATCTTGAAAGCATAGCATTGTCCTTTTACAAATCAAAAAACTGAAGCTGTTTTTAACTGAAGATTTCTGAAGGTCTCATGGACAGCTGCTTCCGAAGCCAGAATCTGAATCTGCACTCATTCACCACCTTCCCAGCGCTGGTGTGAAACAGCCATCCTAGCTGACTTCCCTGAATTGGAGCCACAGGTTTATTTTGTTCCTGTTTCCTGATTGTTTCCCTGAGTTTCATGTGAAACCAGAGATAGCAGATCAGAGGCACCCCTTTTGGTACAACCCTGACAGATCTCGGATGGGCTTGAAAGATCCAGAGAACATGGGACAAGAAAAGTCTTCATGTCCTCCCCGCAAACCCTCACTAAAGACCTCAGCAGAGCCTCTGCCTTTGGGGTTGCCCATTCCTATCTTTATGTGGTGTTTGAGAACCCAATAAACCAATACACTGGCTTCCTTAATTGGAAGTAAACCATTCTGATGATGTTTTATGAGGGTCCCTTCCAATGCCACCACATTGATCTGTTTGTCATGATTTGGTTTTATCTTATTATAATCTGTCTGGCAGAGAATGGCTATTATTCACCCAACCTTTTTACTTTCCTGCTTTGGCATGAAACTAGACTATGCTTCCCAGCCTTCATGGCACTTAGATGGGTCCTCATGATTAAATTCTGGCCAAGTGAAATGTGGTCTCAGCAACTGGAAGACAGGAGTCCCTAACCTGGAACATGAGGCCTTTTCCCAACATAATGACCCAGACTGTACTCTGATAACAGCAAAAAATAAATAAATTTTTACAGTCCCAAGCCACTAAGATCTGGGAATGCTTGTCACAGATGGCCTACACTGTGACATACAATCTACTCCATGGATTTAAAGCAGTGTTTCTCAATTGGGAGTGATTTCTTCCCCCTTAGAGGTATATGGCAATATCTGAAGACATTTTTAATGGTAACCACTGGGGGAAGGGTGCTATTGGCATTAATGGGTAGAAGTCAGGAATGCTGCTAAACATCCAAAACCGAGGACCACCCCCT